GAAAAAAATTGTTTTAAGTTTAAAAAAGAGAGATAAAAACCTTACTACCTGGTACATTCATCCATTCAAAATAAAAATCTTCCAGCAATTTTAGCAAGTGAATTGAAATTATGCTGTGGATCAATCCTTTTCTACACTATGAATATGCATTACTCTCATTGGTTAATAAAAAGCTGACAGTCCAGTAGCTGGGCAGGAAGTTAGGTGGGAAAGCCAAACTGAGAATGATGGGAAGAAGGCGGGCGGAGTCAGAGGAGTCACCAACCAGACACAGAGGAAGCAAGATAAGAATGTCATACTGAGAAAAGGTACCAAGCCACTTGGCTAAACATAGATATGAATTATGGGTTAATTTCAGTGTTAAGAGCTAGTTAGTAAGAAGCCTGAGCTCCCGGCTGAGCATTTGTAAGTAATCTCAAGCCTCTGAGTGGTTATTCAAGAATTGGAAGGCAGGAGAGAACTGTCTGTTAACAAAATTAGGCCATTCAGAGGCTGCAAATGGGTTGGATTTTGCTGTGATGATAAAATATTAACTGAAATTAGCACCCCCATGAGGAAGGGGGTGCAGGGATGTAACCAAGAGTGGTGACGTCATGTGGAGAAGAGATTAGACAAAGAGTAAGGTGTGCTTCCAGGTGGAGTGGAAGTTGTGGGGAAGTGATGAGGAATTGTATAGTTTTTTTTAAGTGGTTTCCAGGCTGGAGAGCTAGCTCAGTGGGTAGCATGCTTGCCTAACAAGCATAAATACCTGGACTGAGCCCCCAGCACTACATAGAGCTCAAGGCCATCTTTAGCCACATAACAAGTTCCAGGCCAGCCTGAGATGTATGAGACCCCGTCTCAAAAACAAACTAAACAAAAAAGTATGTGGTCATTAAAATGTCACTAATAAGGAACTACTTTCCACGAAAGTTAGCTGAATAGATGACAGACACAAAGATGATCCATGTATTAAGTGAGAATATGTAGCCAGAGAACAGTGTACACTGTATTAAGTAATTTGCTAAAACTATGAATGGATAGATTGATGAATATATAACTGAATGGAGACAATACAGTTTTAGTGATGATTGTTGTTCTAGGTATTGAAATTACAAAATTATCTTCTGCAGGCGGGGCCCACCCCAGCCTGAATCCCAGCATTCACTCAGAAAGCTAAAGCCGAAAAATTAAGAGTTCTGGGCTATGAAGGGTTGCACAGGGAATTTAAGGCCAGCCTGGACCCTCTCTAAAAACAACACAATAAATTCCTGTATTTTCTCACTTTTTACTGTTACATGAAAACTACATTTAAAAAAAAAATCAAGCCATTGGTCTGGTATCTTCTACAGGCCTCTGTACCAACGAACATGTGACTTCTACTCATGCACCTTTCTAAATAAGTTTCTTTTAACACGGCAGCACTTCCTTCCCTTCCTTTCTTAACCCTGGGCCTTGAGAAAAAGGCGTTTTATAGGGACAGCTAATAATTATCACCTTCCACCAGCTTAGTTATGACCAGAGGAGCCAGACTTAAAAGAAACATTTTTGATCCAGACTAAATCACTTGGAAACATTCTCATTATTTTTCTCCATGGTGACATGTATAAAATACGAAAAATATGTTTATTCAAGTTTTCTATTCAGTTTCACAACTACTTCAAAAGCTGTTAAGTGTGGTTTACACTCCTTAAAAACTTCAACCTGAGGCTGGGATTCACTTGAACACTAGTCTAGAGCTGTGTACCAATGAGCTGGCTCTTGCTGGACTCCTGATGAAACACACTAAAAGCCTGGAGTTTCTTTGTTGAATTTTTTCTCTCTCACGAAAATGCCTCTGAAAGCTTTGGGAGGTGTTTCTACAGCAAAGTCATGTGAAAAGTGAGCCTTTCATTAGACTCCAACCACAGAGGAATCCCAGGGACCTTCTCTCTAATATAATTTAACTCCCTCATTCAAGAACTTGAGAGGTGGAACGTCGTTTAATAGGTAGATTTAGAGGGTTCTGTGCCTCCAGTAATCCCCCTTTCATCAAAACAATGGCTATAATTAATATTTATGATTTTGCCTTTCACCCCAAAGGACTTTACAAATTGTTACCACAGGACTCGTGACGCTCTCTAATGAAGTGCCTACTGCTCGGCCTGGAGAGAAGTTTACACAGTCACTTCAGGCTCACTCCATAACCACGTGGCTACAAAGGAGGGCTGCCGAGGCATGGCAACTCGGTGCCTCAGCACCCGAAGAGTGAGTCAGAAATGGTAAACCAGTGGGTTCACACTGCCCCTGGAGCTCATGGAGCAGAAGCACGCATTTGTTTTTGTGGGCGTTTGTATATACATACATACATACGTGTGTGTGTGTGTGTGTGTGTGTGTGTGTGTGTGTGTGTGTGTGTGTATTTTGTTTGTTTGTTTGATGGCTTGCGGAGGTAGGCAAGTTATAGCCCATGGGCCTCAGCCTCAATCTAATGTTTTTTTAAGTTCATTAGTTTGTTTGTTTTGAGACAGGATATTCCTATGTAGCCCAGGCTAGCCTGGAACTCTCCATCTGGCATCAGCCTCCTGCTGGTTTTGCAGGTGTGTGCCACCACACCTGGTTCTCAGCCTAATCTTATACCCCACTCTCCGTCCTCCTCGGCCACAATGTTGACTTTGATATTTTCAGAGGGTTGGTCAGGCCAAAGAGGATGACAATGTAACCAGGACTAGACAGGCCTCCCAGAGTTTTTCTTATTTGTTCCTTGGCAGGGTTGAGTTTTTTGTTGCCTGAGAGCCTGGGATAGGATAAGGGAAGTTCAACAGTACTGCCAAGCTTTTGTCTTAACACTCTGGAGTGTCTTCAGAAACCCATTGCAGCTGTCCCTGAACTTTCTTGGAGTCAGCACATTGGACTGACAGGATATGTATTTAATGAAGGCCAAGTCCATGTAGCAACATGCCCAGAGGAAATACTCCCCACACCCACAGTGTTCATCTGCAGTAAGTAGCTGACTTCAATCACAGTCCACCCCGCCCCCAGCAGTGCTGAAATGGGAGGGGGATGAAAGAAAGAGAACCCGAGCTGTTGCCATCAAGCTGAGGAGACCCCACAGGCAGGGCTGAACCCACCCTGGTCACTATCGGACCAGACAGAAAGCAGCAAAACACCTTAAGTCATGCTTTTGGAAGCGTCTTCAGACACTACTGAATACCAACCTACGAGCTCTGCCTCACCTTACCAACAGTGACGGTAACAGTAAGTTCCCAGTGGCTAGCTGCGAAAGCTACAGTCAGGTACTGCCCTGAGCCTGCTGCCTATAGTGTGCCCTCTAAGCTTCCAGGAGACAGATGTTACCATCCTAGTTTTACAAGGTGAAGTTAGCAAAGCTCATGAGAACAGCCCCTAGACTATGACAGTCCTCCTGTTCGTTCATTCATGGGACACAGATCCCATGTGATGGATTTTCCATCAAGAACAGAACCCTATCAGAAACAGAAACAGAAAGTGGCCTTTGTTATATCTACATCTTTTAGAGAGGTGGTTTATAAAGCTACTTACACACACACACACACACACACACACACACACACACACACACACACAAAGAAAAACTAACCACGTCACAGCCCCACCATGTCTGATATGGAGCCTCACCAGTATACAATCTTACCCTGCCTGTGTCCTTTTCTTGCCCACTCTCCTTCACAGTAAGATTTAAAACAAGCCCCTAAATGCCCTGTTGTTTCACCTGTATCTTATCAGCTTCCTAATGCTTAGACATTATGCATCCATTCAGCTGAATCTATGCTGTTTCCGTAAGGAAGAACGGTGTCTACGATCTACACTGTCTCCATAAGGACAGTGTCTATGCTGTTCTCTTAAGGACCTTAAGGACCGTGCCTATGCTGTTTCCATAAGGAAGGACAGCCCCTAAGCTTTTTCGTAAGGAAGGGCAGCACCTACGCTGTTTCCGTAAGGAAGAACAGAGCCTTGGCTTTTTCCATAAGGACCGCGCCTAAGCTGTTTCCGTAAGGACTGCGCCTAAGCTGTTTCCATAAGGACTGAGCCTACGCTGTTTGCGTAAGGACCGCTCCTGAATCTACGCTGTTTCCGTAAGGACAGCGCCTAAGCTGTTTCCGTAAGGACTGAGCATATACATACTAGCCACTTGCATTTGCTGTCTGATGTTTTAAGAAAGGATTTATCATCTCCTTACTTTTGCAAGAGAAGAGAGGTCTTCATGTGAGTGGCTCACCCATTATCATAACCCTAAGAGCTGGTACAGACTGGAACCCAGGTCCAGTCCGGTCGCAGCCTCGCCTCCTTCCTAGAGACAGCTACTTCCTTAAAGCATTGTTTCTGATCTCAGTGAGTCACCAACACAGACACAAGGCCATTTTCTCTTCCCAGGTCAGGTCTCAAGCCCTTCCCACGTCTTAGCAAAGACTGTCTAGGGACACTATCAGGAGCAGCAACTGTGACAGGAATGAACTACCAGATTGTCACATGGCAGCCGAGATGGCCATGCCAGGATGGTCGCATTGGGATTGCCACAGTGGGACAAGCCACGCTGGACAAATTCTTTCAGGAGTGGTCTGTCTGCACCTCAAGGTTCAGCAGGAAGAAAGAAAAGCCCTCAGGAAACAACTGTACTCAACAAGAATTGGAGATACGATCTAAGCTGTGTGTGGTGCCACACCCCTGTAACCTCAGCACTGCAGGAAGCAGAGGCAGAAGGATCCCAAGTTCAAGGCCAGCCTGGACTACAAGTGAAGAACCTGACTAAAAAAAAAAGCAAGTTCACAATGAGTTGGCTTTTCTCGGGTATTTGTCACAGCAGTGGAGACTGGTCTGATAAACAAAGTTCGCACATAATTTAGCAGAGATGGAGGTGGGAGGGAGAGCCAAACAAACCATAAAACCTTAGAACCTTGAGACATTTTGTTAGTTGCCACATCTCCTGGGTGGCCTGAGGCACCTGGACTGAGAAAAGCCGTGACACTGTGGCACTGCTGGGCTCTCCCCAGCACACACACACACACACACACACACACACACACACACACACACACACTGCCGGTGTTAGCACCAAAAGCCCTGTGTGCAGACACGTCTCTCAGTCTGGCCAAACTGGGACTGTTGGGCTATGTCCAGCAGCTGCTGAGGCTCATGGGACAGTTGTGGGATATGATGAGACACATTTTTAAATTTTCATTTGTTCTTTTATTCCTCTACATTATACTTTATTTCACACATCTACTTTCTTTGATTACATCTTGTTTCAAAAACAATATTCTTTAAATAAGAACTTGATTGAGTATAATTTCCATCAAGGTGATTCCAGCACCCTGCTGAGGCTTATGTTTATACCAGATGTGAAGAACTGAATGACGTGGGCCAGTGTTAATAGTGCTTGTTTCTCTGCATATGTATGTGCAGGTGTTAGTAGTGTGTGCACATGTGTGTGGAAGCCAGAGCACAACATTGGGTACCATTTCCTGGGAGTCAATCATCTTGTTTTTTGGAGACCGTATCTCATTGGCGCACCAGCTAGGCTACCCTAGACGGTCAGCTCAGGGATTAGCCCGTCTCTACCTCCTCAGTGCGAGGGTTACATGTGTGCATCACCCTGCCCAGCTTGGCCTGTGGCTTTGGGGGATGGAAGTCAGTCTTCACTTACAGGCCAAACTTCGCAGGCTGGGCAATCTCTCAGGCCCCTGCTGCATTTTTTATAGTCGGGTTTGTACAGTTTTTAAAAACAAAGTGTACTTGTACCAAAGTTCCACCTAGTTTGCCTCTATAAAACGCCACGTCATCTAACATGCTTGCACGTTTACTCTACAACTCCATTCAAAAATCAAGATGGTGCCTTAGGGATGAGAATGGGCTAAGAGGGGCTTGAGTCTTTCCCGTCGTCTCTGGCGTTCAGAATGTCTGTTCTCCTCCCATCAGCTGAGCAGCCACAGGGCAGGCTTTCTTCCCTTCCAGATCGAAATGCCCTGACAACTTCAGTCAGCTCAAGTTGTTGGTTAGATGGTCAGGTACGGGAGTGAGGATGGTAAACCTGCTGCTTGTGGAATCCTTTCTTCCCAGACTTCTCTTTCTCCCTCTCTCAGAATCATAGGCACACATGAGCATGCATACCACTGTGTTCTCCTGGAACCTGATTGTGATTCCTGCCATCAAAGACTCCCTAATACCTCAGAGAAACGCAACTGGAGAAGACATCCACCCCAGAGAGGGAGAAGGGAGAGAGGCAGGTACCTTGTTCTGGTTCAACCAAAGAAGCAGTCATGCCACAGGATGTGAGCCCGGTAAGGCTAAGGCTCCGGACTGCTGAGCATCAGTAAATTCTGTGTCTATGGCAGCAAGGCTGGCTGAGTAACTGGGCTAGGAATGGAAGCCCGGCAGCGGGGCGCATTCTCCTAGCCTGGCTGTGAACTCTTTGTTTGTTTCTGAGACAGGGTTTCTATGTGTAGCCCTGGCTGTCCTGGAATTCATTCATAGATCAGGCTGGCCTCAAACTCTCACAGATCCACCTGCCTCTGCCTCCCGAGTGCTGGGATTAAAGGCATGTGCCACCAAAGCCCGGCCAAAAGTTTAAATTTTTAAAAGTGCATTTTCTTAAGTACTATTTGACCCTCCCTCATGGAGTTTTACTTAACACTACTGTGCTATGGATTTAACTTCCACTAATACAAAAACCAGGCCTAGCTCATTGGAAAGGAGAGTGGAGAGTGAATCTCCTTCCAGCATGGCCACTCAGGCCTGTAGGGATTAGGGATTAGTCCTCCACATCCTCTGCCTGAGTCCCCCAGGGCTATAGCTCTGATGAGGCCCATGCAAGTGGAAACCAGTGCTTCCTAAAGCCTAAGTGTTTCCTCTCTGCTTCATAGAAAGAGTTTGGTTGCCAGTCGACGTTCCTCACCCCTCTGATACAATGAAGGGATCGAGGAAAAGCCTTTCCAAAGCTGCCTTAGCCAGTCCTTGCTGTGTGTAGCACACAGGAGTCACGTGACCATGAAGAGCGACAGTCAGTAGGAAGACAGGTAGGAACAGAAAAGACTGACAGACTTTCAAAGTAAACGGTGTTGTCCTGCCTGAGCTTTAGTTCATGGGATGAATCAAGGACACGTCTGCCTCACAGACACAGATAACCTGAGAGAGGACCCATGGACTCCCTGGGTTAGCTAAGTCAAAGTTCAAATACTCTCCTGTAGGAGACACTTTGAAGAAGCCAGCAGGTGATCCTGCGGCCCCACCTCCTTGAGACTCACTGACCTAGTCTGGGTTCCCGTTTCTCACAGGCTTCTGAGTGCGGTTACTGAGGGAACTGACAGGAAAGTCACAGTGTGAGAGCAGGTAGAAAACAAAAGACACTGATGTTTTGCCAACTTGGTGGAAGCAATCACCTGGGCATCTCCATGAGGGGGTTAGCTGATATGAGAAAATCTACGTTAACTATGGATGGTGTCAGTCCATAGCCTGGGTCCTGGAACACCAGCTAAAAAATCAGCATTCATCTGCTTTCCTGGCTGCAAAACCATGTGACTAGGTGTGTTGCAATGTACATATATTTCTACTCTTATTTGACATGTTTGTATATTGATACAAATGTAAAATTATATTTGTCATACTGTATGTATGTTCTACCTCTGTTTAGGATATTTGGTATATTGATACATATTTAGGATTATTGTCATATTGCATATTGTACTATACATGCCTACCTCTGCTTTGGCTATTTTGTGTATTGTCACAATTTTGAGGTCATTGTCCTTTTACTGTGCATTTGCTTACAGACTGTTTACCCTGTTTACGTGAAGCCTTAGTCCTTAGATTATCTAGGTAGATAAGACTTACAGATTTATAGTCACCTATGCTTGTCATCTCTATAGTTATGTTAATTAGGTTCTCCAGAACTACAGACTTACAGAAACATATGTCAGATGGATAGGCAGTCTTCAAACCTAGAGAATATAGCATTTTAATGTTTTGATAACTTGGAATTCTGTTGACGTGAGACACAATTGCTCCTGGCAGCACTGATCTGAACCTGAGAGAATGTTGGGCTTCTAAGACATTTCCATTTGGAAGTTTGTCTTCATCTTGGCACAAAATGGCCTACTGGGCAAAGAACTGCCCTTGCCTCAACTGCTGACAGTAAAATGGTCTGACAGATACTCTAGGCCTGTAGCCAATTTGAATGTACCAACGATGCACCAACTTTAGGTGACTGTTCAGGCTGCCAGCTGTCTCTGTCTACTCTCGCAGGACTCCCGAAAGTTGCTTGTATCCTTCTCCTGTTTCTCAGGTATTATTATATTCCTTCTCAAGTCTTTGATGGGATTGAAGACTAGCAGTTATAGTTACAATCTTCTTGTGTCTTAGCTAGAACATATTAAGTATTAGATTCAGGTTCTTTAGGATAGGAGACCTTTGGATATGATCTCTGCAACGTGCCATTTACCTATGCTCTAGACTTCTCTGGATTTTAGTATGTGTCTCTTGTTTGGTGTTGTTCTTGTTGGTTATAGTTCCATCTTGTCTAGGTCATTATCCCTTATTCCTCCTGGACAATATTTGATAATCATTCCTATTGTATATGGTTTTGTATTAGGTTAGAATTTTTTTATTTAGACAAAAGGGGGAGATGTAGTGGGTAGCTGTTCCAGCTTTGACCTTGAAGCATTGCCTCAGTGAGGCAGCTGGTAACTGGGATAAGAGCCCTTAAGACCCAAAATCCGACCATTGACCCTCTTGGTTCCTCATGATCCTGGATGCTGAATGACAGACCGAGTCAGAGTTCTCCAGAGAACCCCTCTGGACTGTACTTCACCTCTTCTGGCTCCTGTAACCAAGCCCTTTACTGGCTGTAAGTTACCCCAGAATAAACCTCCTTTTAACTACGTGGAGTTGCCTTGTTAAACCCCCACATTATAGATGCCTCCTGCTCCGGCCAGAGTGACTTTCTCAAACTGTGAGTCAGGGATCCCTTCTGCACTTAGGCTGCTCTGGTCAGGTATCTCATCACCAGAAGAAAGTAACTAACACAGCCGTAGGGAACTCTAGGGTGCACACATGTGCACTGGTTTTGTTTGGATAGGTCTTTCTTGCTTCGCATCTTCCTGAAGTCTTGTCCTGACTAAACAAAGATGTTGTTTAAATGACCATGAAACTGTTGAATTGTGTCAGGTTTTACGACTTCTTTCAAAGCCAACCCTTCTCTGAGGGTTACTGAGTACGCCTTGATTGGACAAGTGGTGAGATTTGCATCCACCATGCCAACTTTCCTTTGCTGCCCCTTCTCATCAGCTGAAGCATGCTCACTCAGGCACATCAGCCTGATAGCGTGAGCCTAGACACCCCAGCTACTTTTCACCTGTAGATTAAGGTTAGCATTGGATTCTTTGATGTAGCCTTGTTACTCGGGTGAATTTCATTTTGACAATCAGATTTTGTTATGCAAATTAGCAACAATTATTTTAATGACTGTGAATGGAAACACATGAACCTGGTGTGGTCACTTTGTGACTCAGGTGACCTGACAGTAGCTGTTGGTTGTTTTAGCAAAAATGTCACCTCATGAGGATGTGTGGGTGGAAAGTGTTCATGGCTCTCTATGCCATGTAACACAGCCCCAGTGGCTCCTGGATGAGGCTGCTCTGTGGATGTTCAGAGCTCACACACCTCAGGAAGGGACATGCCTGCCCAAAAGCTGGCACCCAGGCTTACTCTTCTTTGGCAATCTACAGAAGCCTTGTATTGGCTTTTGTCGCTTTGACTGGGAATAAACACACAGAAGCCCCACCGCGCCCCACACCTGGCTTTTTCGGGATTTCTCTTGTGTTGCAGGTTGAGCCACACCCCCACACTCCATTGTTGTGCACTCATTATGACACAAAAAGGCCAAATGGTCTGTGTTTTCCCCTCTGGACAGCAGCATACAATGAGATTCCGCAGCCTCAGCACTGGTTCTTCACTGGAAGAGTCCCACTTAAGCACAGGCTTAGCGCTCAGCTTGATTTTTCCCGGCTATTGGCTCTCCATTTATAGCTGCATACCGGGAAATCATAATGCCTGCAAAACACCATTGTATTCTGCATAGCATCTGAACAGAACACAACTAATAGAACATGGAGTTTGGACCATTGTAGGATCTTAACAGGTCACCCTGCCCCTGTTCTCCAACGTAACCTACATAATGGTGACCAACTAAACCAGCTAGACTCTGCCACTAATCAAAGAAAAGCCCGACCAGAATGTGTCCCCCACAGAGAGTATAGCCTGGCATTCTAAATGTAATTTCTAGGGAGGATGCCTCAGCGTCTGATTATAAATTGGAATGGTAACATTAGAGCAGAGTTTCTGCTTAAGCCAAGCATGGTGGCTGTGAAGGGCCGTCCCACCCCCACTTTTCCCCAGGGTACTCTTGAGCAGGAGCAGCAGGAAATATTAGAAATAGAGCAAGAGAGAGGCAGACAGAAAACACAGGGTAGCCTCAGGAGGGCCTGGATCCTTATCCATCGGCCCTGACTCTCTCTGCCAAAGGGCTTTTAAAGGAACGCCAAGGGGTGGAGCAAAAGACCTCCCCTAACACAGCCAAGTGCAGACCATCTCAGACACCTGGTAACCATGCATGTGGTCAAGCCATCCCCTCACACAGCCCTGCTATGTAAAGCAAGCTCAGATCTCACTAGGAAACCTCTGTGGACCCCAATAGGTGGCCACACCTTTAATGCCACCACTTGGGAGGCAGAGGCAGGTAGATGTGATTCCCTGCACAGCGGTTCTCAACCTGTGAGTTGGAGGTTGACCAACTCTTTCACAGGGGTCACCTGTCAGACATTTACATTACGATTCATAACAGTAGCAAAATTACAGTTGTGAAGTAGCAATGAAAATAACTTTATGGTTGGGGGTCACCACAACATGAGGAACTGTGTTAAAGGGTCCCAGCACTGGGAAGGTGAAGAACCACTGGTTTAGAAGAGGAATCTGTGAAAGTGGGTTGCCAGGCAGCTGTTTTTCATCCCTGCTTAAAGATTAACTTTTTTTTGAAATATGACTGCTGAATGATAGGATAGACTTTCTACCCGTAATATGCTATGGAAATGAGCCATGGAAGATGCTTCGTATGTCCACCACATCCTTTTAAAGAAGTATGGTAGCCTGTTGGATAGCTAGATGGGCTGAATGGGAAGAAGAACAGATGGTAGCCTGAGGAACATCAGTCATGAGGAACCAGATGGATGAGCGTTGACACACTGCTCCCGTGTGGTGTCAGCCTGTGATGTGGTTTTAGTGTTACCCAGTGAATCCTAAAGTAGCAACTGACCAGCAGTGGGATGCGGACTTCAAAGTCAGCAATGTGGGGGCTGAGGGTTAGCTCAGTTGGTAAAGTGTTTGTTTGCCTTACAATCATGAGGAGCCGAGTTCGATCCCCAGGAACCTACTTTAAAATGCCTGGGTATGGTAGTGTATGCTTGTGAGCCCAGCGCTGGGGAGGCCGAGACAAGAGGATCTCTGGGGCCTTCTGGTTGGCTCAATTGTGAGCTCCAGGCCAATGAGAGGCCCCACCTCAAAGAAGGTGGGTAGAGTTGCTGTGGGTGATGCCTCCAGCCTCCACACACACAAAGTACAAATGTGCACACATACAAAGTCAGAAAGCTTCTTGGCAAGCAAGAAGTCCTCCAAACTGATCCCAGGTGACAGGTGACCTGTAAACAAATATGGGGGTTAATTCAAAACAGCTGGAAGGTAAGCAGAAATAAGAGGCCCACTGCCTGTTAAGTGTCATAGGGGAGAAAGACGGGGAAGCAGGAATAACAAACATCTGGACAGACGCCGGAAGTCCACACTGAGCTGATAAGATAAGGAGGCTGAAGCCAGACAATTCCTAAGGCAGCACTTAAGAGGAAAACTTGTTCCAGAAATGGCTAGGAGGAGATCTGAGGAGCAGGAGGAGAGGAGGGTGGCAGGCTAGACGTCTGCCCAGAAGCCAAGGGGCCATGCTATTCCACTGAGCTGGAACTGTGGCAGCTGGGACAGATAGGCAAACCAAATGCATGGCTCCTGCATAGAAAAGAAATTCAGGATGCTCCAGTATAGAGCAGAGTTCAAATTTGTTAAAAACAGAAAGAAGGGGCTCAGGAAAAAATAGAGATGAAGGGTTCGGGCTTCTTTGAGACAGAACTGCAATTACATATCTTGGTAGTAGGCAGCAATACCACTTTGGAGGGTCTCAAGATATTCTCAAAGAGTTGCTAAGAAACTTTGCCCTGGGTCCCTCCCCTCTGTGCTCAGGGAATCCCTCAGAAGAGGTGGAGGAGGGATTGTAGGAGTCAGGGGGGTAGAGGACACTAGGGCTCACCGAGACCGAAGCCACAAGCCCGGGCCCTGCGTGGGTCTGCACCAGGTCCTCTGTGTACATGTTGTGGCTGTTAGCTTGGTGTTTCTGTGGGGCTCCTAACAGTGGGATTGGGTGTGTCTCTGACTCATTTGCCTGTTCTTGGGACTCTCTTCTTCCTGTTGGGTTGCCTTGACCAGCTTCAGTGTGAGGACTTTTGTCTTGTCTTATTGTATTGTATTTTTTTTTTGGTCGTATTTCATTGTCATCTCTTGGAGGCCTGTTCTTTTCTGATGGGATGTGGAGGGGAATGGACCCAAGGGAGAGGGGAGGTGTGGGGAAGCTGGGAGGAGTAGAGGGAAGGGAAACTGTGGTCAGGATATATTGTATGAGAGAAGAATCTATTTTTAATTTTTAAAATGTGCTAGGGATCTAAACAGAGAATTCTCAAAAAAATGTTTAAAGGCTATGAAATACAAAAAAACAGAAGAAAAGAAGAAAGGAACTATCCTCCTTTTCTCTCTTTTTTGATAAATAAGATTACAGGATGGCTCTGGGGGTGCCTTGGACAGGACGGCAATCTAAAAAGGGAGACCCAGGGGCCACCAGGGTTACACAGGGGTTTAAGACACGTCTTTACTAATGGGGGTGCCGGGGGAACCCTAGGAAGAAATGGAGGCCTAGAGCTGGAGCGTGAGGAAGGCCTAAAGCATTCTGGCTATGCTGGACTTCTTGGCTCCTAACTGGAAGGAGACTTCCTCTTCGTTCCCATGTCCCCATGACTCTGTCTGTCTTCACTCAGAACTGTAACTTCATGCCTGTGGGCCCCAAGGACTTACTGTCAAACAGAAGCGCATGGAAGATCCACGGTTCAGAGAGCTCACTTTGTACCCGTGTGGAAGGAGTTCTGAACAGAGAAGGGCAAGATACTGGAAGATCCTCTGGGAGACAAAGGAGCTTGTGCAGGATAAAGGGGGAAGCCTGAAGGGAGGCAAGGGAGAGAGACAAAGAAAAAGGGCAGGGTTAGCTGCTGAGCATCCTGAGTTGGCTTGCCTGTGTTAACAAACAAACCTATATAAACAAACAGAAAAACAAAACAAAAAAAAACGAGAACTCAGCAAGGTGTGAGGAAGGAAGAGAATGGAAGGGGAGGGGCGAGGAGGGAAGGGAAGTGTTCTAGTCACTCTTCTGTTGTAATAAAACACCATGACCAAAGCAACTTACAGAGGGAAGAGTTTATGGGCTGATGGTTCCAGAGGGATCCATCGCCATCATTGTGGGGAAGTGTAGCAGCAGGCAGACACAGCGATTGGAGAAGCAAGGTGAGAACTCCCATCTTAAACTCCCAGAGGGACGCAGTAGAGAGCAAACGGGGGTGGCACATGGCTTTTGAAACCTCAAAGCCTGCCCCCAGTGACATCTGCCCCCAGTGACATACTTTCTTCAACTGGGCCACAACTCCTAAATCTCTCAAACACAGCCACCAACTTGGTAACCAATATTCAAATGACCAAGACTGTAGAGGACATATCATTCAACGACACATGCACACATATCACACACACACACACACACACACACCAAAAGAATGAATAAGTAAATAGAAAGTAAGGTCCAAAGTCAGAAGAAAAGCCAGGAGGGTCTTCCATTGTAGCCACAAGCAGGACTTTCTGAGGAGCAATTGATTCTCTGGACACTACTGCGGCCTGGGGAGGTCCAATGGAGATCTTTGGGAGGTGGCTGCCAGGACTTTGCTTTGACTTGTTGTGACTCTGGGGAAGGTGTAGAGTAGGAGAACTTTGCTGAGCTCAATGGAAGCTCTGTTCATCACTCCTAAATAATTTTTCCTTCTAGAATAGAGAATCACCATAATTGTATTCATCTCGGACAATCCCAAGCTGCTAAAATGACAGTCTAGACTAATTACTCCCTGCTCAGAGATCACATTCTACAGAAGCTGTGTGGGACTAACCCAGTGGACTCAAGTCCCAGCTGGCCAAACCCACTCTCCTAACTACTGTGAGTGTATGAAATGGCCTTACCAAGGGGAAGGAATTCTGTTTGCTAAACCTTCCAGAACACACTGGTCTCAGGAACATCCTGGAAATTCTTCACCCTGAAGCATGCACCCCTATCCTGTCCACATGACTGGAGGAATGACCACTGTTTATTAACTAAGAGTGAGCTCACAACCCCAGTTCAAGTAAAATCCAGACTCTGCCAAAATATTACTTTCCTCTGAACTGTCTCCAAACCCTCTCAGGAGTCAGGGCTTCAGAATTTTGTCACCAAAATTAACTAAGGGGGTGTGGTGTTTGAATGAGAATGGCCCCTGTAGGCTCAGATATATCACACCTATTGAGACATTAATAAGTAAAAGGCCTGTTCTCACGTGGACAGGAAAGGAGAGCTTCAAAAGAGCAGCCAAAGACAGCAGCAAAACTCTGCTAAGAGAATTTGCGGTTAATTCCCATTTACTAACAAGTGTTTGGTTCTGGTTCCAGAGCAATTCACACAGAAGAGTCAACCACCTGGGACATGGCAGGGTGCTGCCCGGCACCTTTCTGGATCTCTTTCACTTCCACATTCTGGTTTCCATTCTCCGATGCTCACATGGAGCAGATATGAACTCCCACCCAAATCGGCTGCTGTCTGACCATTTCTTTGGGGTGTCACTGTCAGCAGGAAATCGGGGTTCCTATTTGTGAGTTCTTAGCCTCATTGATAGAAGAATTTCAATCAATGGTCATCATGGTGCTTTGAATTGTGTTTACATGAACCTGAGAAAAAATTCAATCTTGTTTTCAAAACGTGTGTCTCAATTGCTCTCACTTCAGCTACATTCCCACAGCTGTTTTTATTTGAAAATCTAAGAACAGAGGATTTAAATTTGAATGAAAATGAAGAGATGCTGCCATTCACTTCTCTTCTTCCTGCTCTTTGTCGTTCTTGGCTTTGCCCCTGAAAGGACGGGAAGGGCGCACCACTGGTCTTGCTTCTAGAAACATATTGTTCCTTCCCTTCCTGCTACGACATCCAACACATCTGCTTTCTGTTTTTATATCATAATTACTGGTACTTCCTTGAGAGGAGATCACCCACAGGTACTGAAGCCACCCAGCTCTCCTGTCCCACCCATCCTCTCGGCTGATTTGAAAAGGGTCAGACGGCTCCTTTGGAAGTGTGGAAGGGGGCTATGAATTGCATTCCAGCCTTCTAAACTAAGCCTTGACCTCTTCTAGGATATAGACTAGAAGATGAAGCCCATGTTTTCCCTTGCCATATGGGGGGTCCATAGGCTATCTAGTGCTGCCCAGCACATGTAACCACTCAAAACTCCACAGTGGACCTAAGGGGAGGCGGCACATCTCTGTAGTTCTGAACTATGTAGCAGTAAAGACACCCCAGTAACCCTTGGCAACTGCTCTTCCAGTAGAACAACACCCAGTGCCTCCCTCTTGCTGGTAATTGTCTGACAACCAGAGCTTAATGCCTGAAAAACCACATGGTCGAAGGAGAAAACTGACTCCAAAAAGTTGCCCTCTGACCTCCACATGGCCACACAGGTATGCACATGTAAATAAAATAACTATCATGAAATTTTTTAAATAAAAATTATAAAGGCCAACTTAAACACAATGGGTGTTAGCAAGTCGCAAGCCGGTACATCCTTAAAGCAACCAGCCAAGAATAAAACTCTATTCACCACCTCATGCGTATGCCTGATGGGCATATATATATGCTCACAATTATGGACTGTGTGGCTAACACACACACAAACCACCCAAAGTTATATACCAGCCCATCAATCAATCCAGGCAAGGGTCCACCCCTTCCCTTCCTTGAGGAACAGCTTCTTCCCTCCGCTAAACTCATAACCCCAAAGGAGTTCTTGAACTGCCTGCTTCAGCCAGCTCCCACTGTGTGTGTGCACACTGCATTTTCAGTTTTGTTGTTGTTGTTGTTTTCGAGACAGGGTTTCTCTGTGTAGTTTTGGTGCCTGTCCTGGATCTCACTCTGTAGACCAGGCTGGCCTCGAACTCACAGAGATCTGCCTGCCTCTGCCTCTGGAGTGCTGGGATTAAAGGCATGCACTACCCGCCGGCCGGCACACACTGAATTTTCCTCTCACTTTAGTAATCTATGCTTCCATTGCCACTACGCTCTGCTGGTGCTCAGTCCCCACTTGGGAAGCTAGGGTAAGAAGATCACTTCAGCCTGGGACTCCAAGAGCAGCCTGGGTAACACAACAAAGCCACATCTGAACGAACGGAGGCCATGAATGTGACTGGACCACGTGAGCAGCACAGGTGAGGAGGGAGACTAGGCAATGAGAGTCCCTGGCAGCAGTGACGGCATTGCTAGGGTTGGGCTCCAATACCACACATGTTTGACTCAAACATCCTTAGATGTTTCTAAAAGCTGCTTTCCCTCTGGCTGATGACTTTATAGCAAGTCTCTTCTACGCACGACTTCAAATTGTCCATCTGCACAACCCTGGTGTTGGCAATCACACTTTGGCTCTGAAGTCATCAACATGGCCTCCACCTTTGGTAAGTTTGCTTTCCCTTGTGTGGTAATATAAATGAGAATGCCCTCCCCCCCAATAGGCTCATATATTAAAATGTTCAGTTCCCAAGTAGTGGAACTGTTTGAGAAGGATTAGGAGGTGTGGCCTTGTTGGAAGAGGTATGTCACTGGAGGTGGACTTTGAGGTGTAAAAAGCCCATGCCAGACTCAGTGTCTCTCTCTCTCTGACTCAAACTTGCAGATCAGATGTGAGCTTTCAGCTACTGTCCTAGAGCTAAGCCTGCCTGAAACACACTCCCTGGCATGATGATCATGTGCCATGATGATTATGTTGATCACCTTCTGAAACTAAGCAAGTCCTTAATTAAATGTTTCCTTTAGAAGTTGCCTTGGTCATGGTATATCCTCACAGCAATAGAACAGTAACAAAGATACCTTGGAAGGTTTAGAGTTATGCTTTTATCACCTCACGTTGAGGCCACATCAACTCAGCTTATTCTACTGAGACCCAGGTCATTGCCATTGCACAAGTCATCCTTTGACCCACTCCATCACTGTCGATAAACTACAGGACCTGTGCCTTGGAAATCACAGGCACCCCAATGCCCTGGAAAGACAAGGACATCCTGTGAGGAGACTGAAACACAACTAGATGCAGGAATCTTCTGTAAATACTCTGACCTTTCAGCAGTCAGGAATGTCAATATCTTTGTTACAAAGAAACCATTTTCCACATAGTAGGTCCCTAACACAATGCTCAGTAAGTTCCTTGAACGCAAATATATAAGGTACTGTAGCCTCTTCCTGCAGTAGAAGCATTTTAACACATTTACAAAATAACTATGGCTTTGAGTGGCAGTGTAGTGGGAGATATTTCAGAGCTCACCCAGCCTAAATAGCTATTCTCTTGTCCCTTATCACTTATGATCTGGTACACAAGGATATCCTACAGGACCAGTGGCAATAGAATAATTATAATTTTAAAAACTGAAAGATTTAGGAGAGTCTTCAGCATGTCATAGTCTTCCTGCTGAGGCCAATGGAGAACCAGCCCTCTTCAGATGGGATACTTCGTCTCAACTATCCAGTCACTAACATATATCTAAGACCTTGCCATCAATGTCACATGACCCACTGATTGATAAAGAAGCTCAAGATGGTTCTAGAATACATGCTGGTCTTAGCTCTAAGCCTATCCCGGAATGCCTGGGAAGGAAAACAACTACATGTGGACAAAATGTTGCAGAGGACACCTTGTTTATGTTGCCTCACAGGAGAGAGAACCACAGGTGAGTATCTTCAAATGATAGAGATAAATAGTTTGGTTAGATGTATGAGTCTTGGCAAAAAAAAAAAAAAAAAGTGTGGTGGCTTGAATAAGAATGGCCCCTATAGGCTCATATATTTGAATGTTTGGTCACTAGGGAGTGGAACTGTTTGAAAGGATTATAAGGATTAGGAGGTGTGGCCCGGTTGGAGGACGTATATAACTGGGGGTGGGCTTTGAAGTTTCAAAAGCCCATGCCAGACCCAATGTTTCTCTCTCTCTCTCTCTCTCTCTCTCTCTCTCTCTCTCTCTCTCTCTCTCTCTCTCTCTCTGTGTGTGTGTGTGTGTGTGTATAGATCAGGATGTAGCTCTCAGCTACTGCTCCAGCAGCATGCGTGACACCATGACCCCTGCAGTAATAATGGACTAAGCCTCTGAAACCATAAGCCAGCCTCCATGCCTTGGTCATCGTGTCTTTTCACAGCAATAAAAGAGTGACTATGACAAAAAGAAGTAAGGAATTATCAACAAGAGAGGTTGAAGAAAAAAGTCTAAAGGAATACTATTCAAAAATACACTAAGAGAACAGAAAGGCCAGCAAGATGGCTCAGAGGTGCTTGCCACCAAGCCTGACAACCCAAGTTCAATCTCCGAATCTACATGGGAGAAAGAAAAAAATCCTTTCTCACAAGTTGTCCTTTGACCTCCAAACAAGCCATGCAACACACACACACACACACACACACACACACACACACACACACACACAATTATTTTAATAAAAGAATGCAGCTGCATTCATTGGAACTCTCAGTAATGAAAGCACTCGATAATTAGGTTATTAAGATCACCTATTATTCAAGATGTTTGCTCTTTCCCTTTACTGAGCCAGTAAGAGGTCACAGGTATGATGCTCTAGTCTTCAAGGAGCAGAAACCAGAGCTGAACCCCTAACAGGGCAACACGAACATGGCAGAAGTAGTCCAGATCAGATGCACAGGCTTCCATGCATCCTAAGAGGGACAGTTCTCTTTCAACTTTCAACAACCTTCCTTTGGGCTATGCATTTGACCACGATGCCTGCAGCCAGTTCTTTGTGCAATAACTGGCGTGTGCTAAACAAACATCTGCATCTCCAACGTGGTACCCTACACGTGTCATTTAACCAGAAGAAAATGAACTGGGGAAAAATGAGAAAGGTCCCCTGCCCTTAGAACTCACTGGGCCACCCTCTGCCCACCCCTAAATAGCTGGCTTGGTTAAAGAAGACACACTGTGGAACGGTCTCCTAAAGACTCCGGAACTAGGTAAAATCTATGTTGGACACATGGGCAGCTGCCCTACTGGGGATGTTGGGATGACTATTCTTCTTTATCAACTTGACTGCATCTGAAATTAACTAAAACCCACATGGCAGGCACATTTGTGAGGGATTTTTTTTCTTAATTGAATCATTTGAAATGGGAAGACCCACTTCTAATCTTTGAGGCAAGAAGATAGAACTTTAATACAAATCTTTTGAAGATCCACCCTTAATCTAGGCCACACCTTCTGCTGGTAGCCTATATAAAGGACATGGAAGAAGGAAGTTTGCTCTTTGCCTGCTTGCTCTCCCTAACAAGTTCATTCCTTCACTGGTAGTAAAGTCTACTTCTTTGGGATTCTGGCATATACTGAAGACCAGCTGAAGCATCCAGCCTCATAGATCAAATAACTACTGGATTCTTGGACCTTCCTTTGGTAGACAACCATTGTTGGACTAGCTGACCTACAGCTGCAAACCATTCTACTAAATCTAATAGACATACTTATCATTCTATAGGTTCTGTTCCTCTAGAGCACCCTGACTAATCCAGATGCCATATTCTCTAAATGTAAGAGATGCACTATTTCCTCAGGAACCAGGACACCTGGGTCCAGTAGCAAAGGAATTGAAAAAGCAGCCTTTCTCTGTTAAAATTGTTTCCAGTATAATTTGCATTATCTCTATTAGCTTATATGTTTTATTAGTCAATGATAAAATATTTTATTTCTAGGGAGAAACAATTCCCTATCAAACCAGAAGTTAACTTTGCTACCTGGGAGGTCCAGGCACCAGGATTAACACACATTTTTTTCATATCACAATGGCTGCAGTGATTATTTCAAAAGGCAAAAAGAATAAAAAAAGATATCTGCTACATAAGGGATATATATGGAATATCTGAACCCCTGCATTGATACCCAGAAAATACATGGAATATATTTCACATAAACATCACCACCAAATGACTGGACTCTAAGAGAAACTCACAGTGAATAAGCGCCTAGGAAGAAGGAAAGCCCCGGTTGGAACACCACCTGGAGGCTCCTACTTTGATGCATGGCCTCCTCATGTTTGTAGAGTTAGGGAGAAGGACCAATCCACCCAGTGATGACCTGGTGGGGCACTGCTATGGGCTATCAACACATGTCGTTGTCCTCGGAAGGCCACAGGGAAGAGGGTCTCTGCCTCTAGTAGAAACAGGGAGTATAAAGGCATTAATTCCAGTATTAATGAAGATGGCAGGAGGGACGGGAGCAGGAAGCATTTATTAAGTAGAAAGATAAGAAGGCAATGTAAGAGAAGAAACCATAAAAGACACCAACAAATAAACTCTGATAAAGATAAATGTGACTGGGCTGGAAAGATGGCTCAGTGGTTAAGAATATTTACTGCTTACTCTACAGAGGACCCAAGTTTAGTTCCCAGCACTTGTGTGGGTGGCCCACAACCACCTATGACTCCAGCTCCAGGGAGTCCAGTGCCCCCTTTTGGACTCTGAAGGCACTGCACTCACATGTACATACCCTCTACTACACATACACACAATACAGATAAACATTATTTTAAAATAAAGAAATACTTTCTTTCTTTTTTTTTTTTTTTTTTTTGGTTTTTTTCGAGACAGGGTTTCTCTGTGTAGCTTTGGAGCCTATCCTGGAACTCACTCTGTAGACCAGGCTGGCTTCGAACTCAGAGATCCACCTGGCTCTGCCTCCCGAGTGCTGGGATTAAAGGCGTGCGCCACCACCGCCCGGCTAAGAACTACTTTTAATGACAAACGTGACAACGATCGCTAAGGGCAAATATATTAAATTCATCTGTTAAAAGGTGGAGACTGTCAGGTTTCAGAAAAGTCCACGTACAATATATTCACCCCAACAGTTATACCTGTAAGTTAAGAAACTTAAAGTAACTGTGTGTAAACACCAAGACAAGTAAATATTAACACAGCTCCATTGATAGTAAACAAACAGACTTGGAAACAAAAGGAATGTTTGGAAATAAAGACAGATGCTATATAATAATAAACATCATTTTAACATTTGCATTTGGGTGAAACAATGAATAAATAAGTTGCCTCTAATATATAGTAATTTTAAACTTGTATGTACTTAATAATCAGTTATAGGAAGTACAAAGTATTTCAAAGAGAAATCAACAAACCCACCACTTCATGAGACTGGTATATTCATTCATACTGAATTCACTTGAAACTGGTGAATCAATCATACAAGAGCCATTGAGAGGGCAGGGTTGTAGTTCAGTCAGTGGTGTGTTTGTCTAACATGCACACACCGACACCATGGATCAGTGCCCAGCACAGCACAAACTAGGCACAAACCTGTGATTCCAGGTTCTGAAGGTGGAATCCGAGCAACAGAAGCTCAAGGTCATTTTTAGCTTCCTAGAGTTTGAGTCCAGCCTGGAATCATAAGACTCTGTCTCAAAAACAAAAAAAGGATTACTAAAAAAAAAAAAAAAAAAAAAAAAAAGTAGTTTTTTGTAGCAAAATGTTCTAAATTGACTAAGGTGAGATTTACACAGTTTTTTTAATTTTCTAAAACTTTAAACTATGTTTTTAAGTGAATTTTATATTAAAAAATTAGAATTCAACAAAGGTGCTAAAAATTCAACTCAATTCAATTCAACATAAATATGAAAAGCATGTGGATCTCAATAGTAGCCTGCACCAGCCTATTAAGAAAAAACTCAACTTAAACACAAATGAACTATTTAGAAAGTTCTGCTTCACAGGGACCACCAAGTATATCTAAACTAATAAAGAACTGATAACAGATAGGTCATGTGTGCTAAATACAAATAAAATGAGAAAGTTAAAAATTATTTTTAGGCCAGGTGGTGGTGGTACATGCCTTTAATCCCAGGCAGATCTTTGTGAGTTTGAGGCCAGTCTGGTCTACAGAGTGAGATCTAAGACAGGCACCAAAACTACACAGAGAAACCCTGTCAAAAAAAAAAAAAAAAAGAAAGAAAGAAAGAAAGAGAAAAAGAAAAAAAATGATTTTTAAAAGAGGTACAAATAAGATAGGAAAAGTTGGGGCTGGAGAGATGGTTCCAAGCTTAAGAGCACAGGCTGCTCTTCCAAAGGACCCGGGTTCAATTCCCAGCACCCATATGGCAGCTAACAACTGTCTGTAATTCCAGTTCCAGGGGATCCAACACCCTCACACAGACATACATGCAGGCAGAACACCAACGTATATACAATAAAAATAAATAAGTCATTTTTAAAAGGTTAAAAATATAAGAAAAGTCCAGCTCTACTGACTTGCAGGTGCTAGGATCCTACACTTAAGACATCCAGATGACTCTACCACAAAGTGCTTAGACCTGATAAGGACTTTCAGCAAAACAGCAAAGCACAAAAATCAAAATTCCAAAATCAGCAGTTTTGTACATACCAATATTGTACGTACTAAATGATTCCATTCTTAGTGTCACAACAACAAAAAGAACCAGGAAGAAGTCTAAGCAAGGAGGTGAAAGTCTCCTTAGAACAACACACATTTTAAGACATTGAAGACACTAGAAGATGGAATCATCTCTCTGCTCACTCGTTCATTCTAAAGTTAATATAGTAAAACCAAAAACTATCTACAGATCCAATGCATTCAATTCCCATCAAAATTCCAATGAGTTTCTTCACAGAAGTAGGAAAATATACAAACAAAACTATAATTCATGCATAAGCACTTAAGACTCTGACTAGCCGAAGGCGTTCTGAGCAAAAGAGCAATGCTGGAGGAATCATACACTAGATTCCAACTTATACTAGAGTTATAGCAACAAAACCACCATGGTACCAGCTCTAAAACAGACAGCAAATCACGCAGCCTGCCTGCAACAAAGGTGCCAAAAATGTACACTGGAGAAAGGATAGCATCTTCAACAAATGGTGCTGGGCAAACTGAGTATCTACATGTTAAAGAGTGAAACTCTCTAACTTTGCAAAGAAGTCAACTCAAAATGCAGCAAAACTGTTAATATAAGACCTGAAACTCTGATGTTTGCAGAGGAAACACTTCAAGGTGTAGGCATAGCAAGGGCTTCCTAAGAGATTTCACCAGGTCAGGGGAACCCCCAAGAGCAGACAGGGTGGGGGAGGGGTTGCATGGAAGTTAAAGGCACTGCACAGCAAAGGAAAGGATCAACAGGATGAGGAGACAGCCTACAGCCTGGGAAGGGCAGAACTTTACTGGGTACATACCAGAAGGAATTAATGTCTAGAATTTATAAGGAACTCAAATAGTTAAACACCCCCCCCCAAAAAAAAAACCCAAATAATACAAATCAGTAAATGGAAAAACAAATTGAAGAGACCGTTCTCAAGTGAAGAAATACATAAATATATGAAAAATATGTGTAACATCCTTAACCAGCATGAAAACACCAATCAACACTACACTAGGAGGTGGTGTTGGAAAAATGACTCAGTTACGAGTACTGGCTACTCTTCTGGAGGATCCAGGTTTGGTTTCCAGTATCCAAATAGTGGTTCACAACCTGTAACTCCAATCTCAGGGAATCTGACACTCTTTTCTGGCCTGTGTGGGCACAGCCTACATGTGGTGTGCATACATGGATACAGGCAAAACACACATACACACAAAATAAAAATAGAAATCACAGAAACACACACTGAGATCCCACCTCACTCCACTCAAAATGGCTGTCAATGGGTGTCTTAGTTTCTTGTCTATTGCTGTAAAGAAACACCATGACCAAGACAACTCAGAAAGTACTTAACTTGGGGGTTCGCAGTTCCATAATGTGGAGAGCATGACAACAGATAGGCAGGCATAGTGCTGGAGCAGTAGCTGAGAGCTTATTTCAGATCCATGAGCACAAGGCAGAGTTAACAAGGAATGATGGGCTTTTGAAACCTCAAAGCCCACCCACACAGTGACACCTCCTCCAATAAGACCCCACCTCTTAATCCTTCCCAAACAGTTCCACAAACTGGGGATCAAGTATTCAAATATATGAAGCAATGGGGGCCATTCTCCCATTCAAACCACCACTGTGGGAGTGTAAATTGATGCAACCACTGTAGAAATCAGGATGGAGTTCCTCAAAAAGCTCACAGGAAGGTTGGGCAATGTGGCTTACACATACAATCCTCACAATTAGGAATTGTGGCAGAGTGACCACTACAAGTTCGAGACTTTGTCTCCAATTTTTTAATTAATTCAACTTACCATATGAACCATTATCCCTTTCTTTGGCAGACACAGGAAGGAATCTATCAAGGTGCCAAGGGTTGTCTGTTACATATTTCCAACAGCTAAGCTATGGCATCTGCCTAACCATCCATCAACAGATGAATGGGTAAAAGAAATGTGGCACATATGCCCAATGGAGTTGCATTCAGCCATAAAAATGAAATTATTTCATTTGCAGAGAAGTATATGGAACTGGAGATCATGTGATGTGAAATAAACCAGACTCGCGAGACGAATGTTGTCTGGATTTTATCATATGCGGAATTTAAATTTAAAACAAAACACATCTGTATGTATTTACACATACATGCATGCCATTTATACGACATGAAGTAGAAGGAGGGATAGTTGGGGGAAAGAAGGGCAGTGGAGAATGGGAGGAGGAAAAGCAGGAGTCACGTGGGTAGTGGGTGAGGACAGCACATGACATGACAGAAGGAAAGCCAGCATTCTGTACTAAGAGTATATGCTGGCAATAAAAACATTTTCAAATGCTTGTCTGCAAGCCTAAAAATAAATCTAACTCACGGACTTAAGAAAAAAATACCAAGACAAATGAGTTGATTTAGTACTGCAAGAGAACAGAGAACAGTACTTTTATATCAGAAGCCACCGGGATAAACTGTGGATGCTAAAAGGAGAGATGGGTGCTAAGTGTTGATGTTTAAAACAGATGAAGGGGACAGAACTGCAGGTGCAGGGGGAGTTTTTAATCTCGAGAGAAAATGGGAATTAAACCTACTTCAAGATTTAGACACAATGGAAACTGTCTAGAAAGCACAATAGATGCTATATGAAAGAGAAGCTCGTACAAGATCTGTGAGGGAAATGGAGCCATTCAGTATCCCTACACGAAACAAATGTCAGATTCACACGGTCTTAGAGAGCAGTCCACCAGACAGTTAAAAGTCCATGATCCCAAAGTCACACCAACTTTTCCCAGAAGGAAGAAGAGGGACCAAGACCTCACAGTATTTCATGAAGCTAATATAACTGCAGTATAAAACTCAGACCCACACAGTGCAAGAAAGGAAAATTACAGACCAACTCCACTTGCAAACCTAGATTCCAATACTCTGAATGGAGTATGAGTCCACTGAACTCAGCTGGAAATTAAAAAGAAACATCAGTGAGCACAGTTTACTGGCTCGTGGCAAGAAAAGTTCAACATTTAAAAACTTCTGGCCATACAGCAGATTAGAGAAAAAAGCCTCCTCAACAGATCGAGCATTCAGCACAATTCAGCACTCGCTCATGATATCTAGATATCTAGAAAGACCTAGAAAGCCAGGGAGAATCCCTGAACTTAATCACGGACTCTAACAAACCTCGACAGCAAACACGCGACTTGTGGGCAAAACAGGAAGAGAAAGTGGTGGAAAGTCCAAAGCAATTTTCCCTGTTGCTCCTCGTGCTCAGAATTACACAGTCCAGGCTCACACATGAGGCACAGACATTTAGTGTAGCACAGGCCACTCCTTCCGGCTCCAGACCTCTGCCAATCATTTTTAATGTAAATAAATAACCTGATGCTATGGGCATACACCAGTTTCTAGGAGATTAATGAGTTGCTTTTTACAGAAGGAAGCATTTCACACTAGGATGAAGCCAGCTCTCTAGCCTTACGAGGCCAAATGATGGGACTCATGTAAGTCAACGCATCTTATCTGTGAAGCCAAGGGGCAGAAGGCCCCCAGTTCTCACAGGTGGCAGAGTGGCTTTTCAGGTGGCAGGCCTTTCCCGTCACATTTGAATCCTTCCATTTGACAGTAATTCCACTCGCATCCTTCTGTGTTGATGTACTGATCCCCTGGTTTCAAAGGTGAGCTTCCATATTGATCTACATGAAGATACTTCTTCAGCCTGTGTGATAGAACCCAATTGAAACCACTTAATCCAGCAGGTCTCAACTTGTGGGCCATTTGGGGGTCAAGCAATCCTTTCACAGATGTCACCTAAGACAATCGGAAAACACAGATAGGTACATTATGATTCATAACAGTAGCAAAATTACAGTTATGAAGTAGCAACAAAATAACTTTATGGGGTCACCACAGCATGAGGAACTGTATTAAGGGGTTGTTGCAGCATTAGGAAGGTTGGGAATCACTGACTTAATCCATACTATACACTCTGCCCCACTTGGAGAGCCAGACACTGGGGTCTCGACATACATTTCAGAAAAAGGCCCCCCAAGATACCTGAGTGCTATTATGTGGGT